AAAGGTTAAAGTCACCTGTTATGTCAGTCACAAATGTGGTTAATCTCAATAAAAGGATAATGCAACGTACCTTGTAAGTTTGGAGGGTTTGCCCGCAGTGTGGGAGGTGCCTTCACGGAAGATACGCTGAAATTCTTGTCCTGTGAGTTTTAATGGTAACTAGAAAGGTAACATTTTCAAAGCAAATGCATAATTTTTACCTTTGCATATGGTCTGCTCTGTTAATTCTTACTCAAACACATTCACATATATGGTGACAGGAATCCAAAAATCTCCTACTATAAAATTGCAACATGATCTTACCCAACACCAGTTACCATGGTGACAGACGGTCTGGTTCAGTTCATTGACCAGGTCACCAGGTCAGTGTTTGGAACGGAAGAAGAAACAGAGCAAAAACTTCGGTAAACATAAAAGTTAAATATTTATATAAGAAGTAATCAGTAATCATTGCAGTGCATATCAATTTCCCCGTCAGATTCATTTTCTTCCTCCGCATTGATATGTTTATTATAGGTTTTGCTTTCTGGAACATAGAATTTAAACACAGAGCTTGAACGTACCAATTTAACTTCTTCAACATATTGAGGTCTACATAAAATCTATCATGAGATGTCTGGGTCAGTATCAACATATAGTATCTTCAGTACATTTAACAAATTGGCCTTAGTTTTTTAAATCTCTGAAGTTGGATGTTGTGTTCTTGAACTTCTTTCCGCATTTTTTAGATGATTTGAATGTGATTAGAGTTAAATTCGGGAAGACTTTGATCGTCTGTCCATATCCCGAGAAGACAAGGGGGGCAATGCCAATGAGCTGTAATACTCACAGTCATGGTGGTCACAGCAGTGCTGCAGCTGGGAACACCAGTCGTTGAAACAGTCTCCACAGTTGGTGGCAACTATAGATAGGAACATGTATTTGACTATCATAAATAATTGACTCGAAAAAATTGCTCGACGAAAATGTTAGTTTTTGCCACGAATATAAAAAAAAGCATACCAAGTTACGAATGGCTCTTAGTTGGCTAGAGTTGTTGACATAGAATCTTAGGTTCTGACAGAGTAGACTAAAACTTACCAATTGAGCATCCCCCATGCTGGATTTCACCGCAAAGATCCCGCCAACAGTCATTGTTATCCCGCCAACAGTCAACGCTACTATGATCCCAACTGTCAGTACAGCAACGACCACCTGACACCAACTACATTCTGAAAAAGATAACCAGTATCATTACAACTCCCTGTCCACTTAAAGGAAAACAAAATGCTATCTTATATTCATTTTTTTGAAACAAGACTGACAATGAAAACATACATTGCCATGGCGACGGTGGGATGCCTCCTTGTGGTCTGTCGTGAGTTTGTTAAAAATAACATTTGGGGTTAGTTGGTGTAAAATTCCTAGAATTCTTGCAAACTGCACACAATACTGCACACAATACTGCACACATTAGGCTCGCCCATGAGGCGTCGCCAAAAATGTCAGGAAACAGCATTCAAAATCGAAGGTTATGAAACTTATGGAGTCATACATGAATGTTGACACCATCAAACGCGGTACATACCTATTTTGAGCCCGTTGCCTGCCGCTAATTTCCCACGTTTTGCGGTTACGTCATCGCCGTCATCATCATCATCTCTCTGGTACCTGGCAGCATCACGGCCGTGTTCTAATACCAACTTAGGATCGTCATCAGCAGATGGTTTGGTGGAGGGATCGTCATTAGCAGATGGATGGGTGGAGGGATCGTCATTAGCATATGGTTGGGTGGAGGGATCGTCATTAGCAGATAGTTTGGTGGAGGGATCGTCATTAGCAGATGGTTGGGTGGAGGGATCGTCATTAGCAGATGGGTGGGTGGAGGGATCGTCATTAGCAGATGAATGGGTGGAGGGATCGTCATTAGCAGATGGTTGGGTGGAGGGATCGTCATTAGCAGATAGTTTGGTGGAGGGATCGTCATTAGCAGATGGATGGGTGGAGGGATCGTCATTAGCATATATATATGGTTGGGTGGCTTGATCGCCAGGAATGTGAAGATAGACATCATTTTCAGCTTGCCTGAATAAAGCCTTGCCCATACTTGCTCGTGCCATACTTTTTTTGGGATGAGTCGTTTGTTGGGCCCTTGGTTGCAGTTTTCACCAATGTTTCTGGTAATGGAATGGAATTCGAAGACGTAAGATCGATGCCAAGACTATGCAAGATGCACACAATGACGTATGAACTATCGGACGTAACCAACTACCAAGTATCTAAAACCAGCTCATCAGAAATGACTTCAGAACAAGAAAGAGTCACAAGGCACCAACTGAGTTATCAACCCATGCAGTACTGATCATGAGGTGTTTACAAATGTGTACTTCATTAGAACTATCGCAAGTGGAACTCGTTGGAAGTTTTGGGAATCGGAATGATTCTATCTCTTAGGTTAGAGGTGTTTGGAAATGAGCTCTCGGTGAGGAGGCCCAATCAGACCGTGACAGTGAGAGATTGTATAACACAGGTTACGTCATAGGCAGACAGGATAATCCAATTTCCATGTAAATCCAGAACCTCACGTGTCGCTGTTTGTTGGACACCAGACAATTTCTACCTCTGTTGTGCCCGGAAGCATCTATATTTTTCAGTTGAGCTTGTTTTCGAGAATATTCCTCTTCCAAATATTGTTTTCAGATCTTCACAAAGAGATTTACGTTCAAGAACTTGGAACTATCCAAAGAAGAATCACAAATTTTTTTCTACGACATAATTTTTACGGATCCATTTTTTTGTATTCTGGAGTAAAATGTTACTTATCTATATATCACGATAGCAAAGACAAGTGTAAATGTCGACACGGTAATCTTGTATATATCTTCATATTTGCTAGCAGCCAGCATGAGATAAAATTTCTGAATTCAAAAACTTCATAATTCCAATGTTAACCCCAACATCAAAATAAAGATGCAAATTTAACTGTTTCCAGCTTTTACAAATTGATCTTCACGTTTTATCAAAATTTGCTGCACTTTTGTAAGCTGTTACGTTCTATTTTCAATGCAAATTGTGAAAACTCCGTACCATTTAAGGTATTAAATACACACATTTAGTAATAGTATTAAGTAAATCAAAGAAATTAAGAGACACAATAAAAAAATAAGTAAATAAGGAGACACCCACTTTTCCGGTGTTACCTGTATGAAGACACCTGGTACCTCTGACTGCGTCCGCTCGGAAGGAATACGTGTAGAACAGTAGATATTTGCATAAACATTAAAGGTTTTTACCATTCTGACAGAACCAAATTTGTGTTGCATTTTGTAGGAAGATACCACATTACCAATTAGCTTGCCTGCTTTAAGTGCCGATGCAGAATTTAGAATTATGAGTCATTTGCAGAACAGAGGATGCAACCACATATCACGAACTTAATAACTGGGTTTCACAAACACCCCAAGCATAGAATGGTCACTGCCTGATCAGTTAGGGAGGCTCTATAAGGGTTTTGTGTGAACAATTTTTGCAAACGTTTAATTCAGCAATTAAGACGGGAGCGTTACTGCAGATTAGGCTCTAATAGGGTATATAATCCTGACTGTGTAAAAAAAAAACATAAGGCTTAAAACGCTGCCCCGCAAGAAGTCTGCACAGGAGGCTATTTAAGAATACCAGTAGTCACTCGATACAGGTCGACTCTTGAAGCAGTTATCGGCTGCAAAACATTTATTTGAATACAGCATGTAACGAGACTGGGGTAACCCAAAACCCATCAATACACTGACTGAATGGAGGCGTGACACGGCCAGGGGTTTTATTACCAACACCTTTGTTAACGTTATTAAGTTACTGTGAAGTTCGGAAGGCGTCGGAGGCAAGAAGGTTTATGCTATAGCTGTGCACTGTAAGGACGTCAGGAGTGTGTCCAGGAGGAACTTAAATCCTGGACAGTCTTCTGTGTGTTCCTAAGACGGTTGTGAGTGTACTTAAGATGTATCGGTCGTTCCGTGTGCTAGTGTACGTGTTGTACACGTTGTACTTGTACGGAGGAGAGAGACTGGCGGTCGGGCAGATGACCACAGAAAATACCACAGATACGAGCTCCTTCACAGGACCTACAAACTCTACAAGCGTGGAGTCGACGACTATGGGCACAGCTGCCGTTACATCCACCTCTACAACGACTACAACGGTACAACCAACCCTTACAGCAAGTGTCGCCCCACGAAGTACAACGTCTCCAGCCGCATCTACAACTGCAACGGTACAACCAACCCTTACAGCGATCACGACTGCAAGTGTCGCCCCCCAAACTACAACGTCTCCAGCGCCATCTACAACTACAACGATACAACCAGGCCTTACAGCGACCCCCACCACTACCGCAGGTTTCACCCCAGAAACTACAACGCCTTCTGTCGCAACTACAACTACAACGGTACAACCAGCCCTTATAATTACACCGACCAGTACCGCAAGTTTTACCCGACAAGCTACAACCGCAAGTGTGTGTACAGTCGACACAAACAACAACGCGACATGTAACGTCTCACACGGAAGTCAGGTCTCAGGTTGCAATGATCAAGAAACGTGGATTGTGGAAGTTTCATTAACAAACACAGATATCGATAACTCTTCCGTAATTTTCGATGGCAACGACCCACTTGTTCTCGTCAATACAGTAAAGACCAACCGGACGGTCACATTTCAATACAGGTATGTTTGTTTTCTTTCAGAAGCTTTTTTGCCTGACTGTGTCTTTGTTTGTTTGCTTCTATCACCTTTCAAGAATAATCTTTCTGTATGCCTTGGTACATTGTATGCTGCGATATTCAAACATATTAGCTTTTTGATGATGCTAGAATTACATAATCTTTGGAATTAAAAATATAGGAAGAAAACACACTTCTAGATTGGTCGATTTTATTCAACAGTCCAACCCTATCAGCAAATGTTACACAATATCCACTCCACTCAGAAACTGTAGAAACGACCTCCAACTCCCAACCTTGATTTTGTTCAAAGACTGTATTGTTTTTATGTTCGTCTACAGTATAAGTTGCTGTTATGCGTCATCAACGTTCATGGTTGGCCAGGGACGCCTCAACACCACGACTTGCGTCGTCCATGTGAGAAACTCCGACCCGACACTGCAGCTGACCTTCGCCCATGACACCCTGGCGCACGCCGCCATCGCCTGCGGCGGAGGGATATCCTTCATCGTGCTTGTGCTCTGCCTGGTGGCGAGCGTGCGGAACAGGATGGAACAGAAGCCCGGAAAATCCAAAAGTGAAGAATTCGAACCTAATGCCATAAACAGCGACACGAAGATAGAGGGACTACAACCTCAGAGGTGCGGGGTACCCAGAAGGACGACACTGGATTCTGTCTTTGACGTGAGCCATAGTTCGTCTGATCCTCAGACGCCTGCAGAAAGATCTCGAGGCTACGTGGTTGAACTTGATGCAGAAGATCCCAGAGTCGTAGGGCCGTATCGTGCGGAAGAACGGTACGAGAGGGAATCGTACGTACACTCCCGTCCAAGTTACGAACACTCCCGTCCAAGTTACGAACACTCCCGTCCAAGTTACGAACACTCCCGTCCAAGTTATGAACACTCACGTCCAAGTCCCGACAGACGCCATCACGACGTTTCCTCTTCCCATCCCATGTCGACGTTTTCACCACACGAAGACGACCGTCTACGACAATTCTCCCGTTCTGCGTCACAACCAAGAGAAAGTCATGGCAGACCGTACGAAACCCATGACTTCTGGGGGATGAATCACTATGGCAACGAGTGGGAAACGCCACCCTATCATAGGGGCATAAGGAGCGGACCCCCGTCTGATTTTGATATGTACTGACGATAGTATTTCAGCTGTGTGATATGCTGTGATTCTCTGTTTTGAATCATGATATCGTGCTTTCTAGTGAACGATGCACAAATACAGATTAACTACAAATAAGACATAAGGCACAGTGCATAATCTTACATTTTATCAGCATATTCAGTTAGTACAAATTATAGGTTCAGTCTGGTTGTAACTCCGGCCTGGTCACAGCGAAACTGCTAGCTGTAGAAAAGTTTCCAGACTTTGTGGTTCTAGTGTCGTCACTGTCGGCGGGTCTGGGCATTCTCCATTTCTTGTATTCACAAATCGTTTAAGACTATCATCATCGTTTAAACCAACTTTAGAACATCAATGATTTATCAACTTCAGGACAGTATTGCTAGTTTATCAGTAGAAAGACGATGTCGATAATTTTTCAGCTTTAAATCATGTGTTATGTATAATGTTATATGTATCATGCGTATTATGTGATTGTAAACCCCGCATCAATTCAGTGCTATGAAATGCTGTGATTGCATGGGTAATGTTTGACCAATAAACCATTTATTATTATTATCGTTACCAATGAAAAGGAGATTGAGCTTTGCTGGACATGTGTGGAGACTCCCTGATCTCAGAACCACAAAACAGCTCTAACATGGAAGCCAGAAGGCACACGCCCGAGAGGGCGGCCTAGAGTCACTTTGCGGAAAACACTACAAAATGATGGGGTAAAACTTGGACTTAACTCACTTAAGGATATGGCAGTAGTGGCGCAAGACCGAAACCTTTGGAGACAAAAAGTCAGACAAGGAGTCGACCTATGCAACAAGGTTGCGGGAGGATCTAAGGTCTAAGGTAAGGACCAATAATTCATAAGCTTTAGAATACTTATCAATGATTTATTAGTTTAGAACATAATCACTGGTTTATCAGTTTGGGCTGTACATCCGGGTGCCCAGGGCGTCCAGAGGCCGGTTTTGTCCTTTCCCAGTGCTGCCGACTCCCCCTGTGGTGACAAAGGATTAGGAAGTTCATGTGTTACTGTATTCTTACATAATGTCAGCCGTATTACTGTATTCTTACATAATGCCAGCCGTATTACTGTATTCTTACATAATGCCAGCCGCCAGACCAGCTCTAAAGCAAAATTCTGTGATTCTGAATATCATTATATAATATGAGTATCTGTATACCCGGTATAACCACCCTTTGGCATAACACAGCAGCTTCGCAGGCACGCGGCGCGGCGGCAGCTGGCTACGTATACATTACACCGAACGACTTGTTACACCTAAGCTTGGAACATCTAACTCTAAACATTGTTTAAATTGTATTTGGTGACAGCGAGTTCCACTGTGCGATACATCTAGGAAAGAAACCTCAGTCCTTGGTTGATAACTCTGGTACTTGAAGGCATGCAACTATTTCTTGTTGCTTTCAGAGCTGGCGTTAGGTACTTAGTAATAATAAAAAATTTCTAGGAAATATTCTTCAAGACAGTCTTACTTGTTCCTGTTTGGTTCCAGCATGCTGTTCTTCAGCGCCCCTCCCCACGGCACGTGTTTCTTACTGGCCTCACCCAGCTTACCTCCGCGCTCTGGGGACAGCTGGAAAACAGGCAGTGGATAATCTACAAGCAGATGTTTTCGGGGGCAAAATCGTGAGAGTATCACATGCATAGTCCCAGACAGTATCCAATTGGCGCCCGTATATCTGGATAGTGGCTGACCAATTTGATACCGTCTGGACTATTGGATACTGTCTATTAGATACTCTCACGATCATGGTTGCCTAGCCTGCGAAAACATATGCTTGCAGTAACATCGACGTATGATACATATTACTGGGTAAACTGAAATTTTCTTGGGTCTCGTAGAAAGGAAATGCTAGTGTTTTGTCACAGAGCAATGCACATGGGTTAAAGAATACAGAGCTTCAACAACTATCATAACTACAATATGAATATCTACCTCCTCTGATATAGCCCTGATGTGGTGCGGTTCGAACCCGCAGCAGCCGCCGATGTACCTCACCCCCAGCTCATAAGCGGCACGCGCGAAGGTGTGGACTTCAAACCGGGTTAGCTGGCGGGGTTCCAGGGCTGGGGAAGGAACAGAAATAAGTATCAAAGTAGACAATGAAACGGGATTAATTTTTGGCAAGCGATCCTTGCTATCAAATAATTTTCCAGGGAGTGGTCCTCACATGAATGTTAGATTGTTACAGTGATTTTTAACATAGATTGGTGCTTATTATGACGATCATTCTCAACTCACACTAATCAACTCTGTTTTAGTTACATCGCTACCATCCGAATTTACATCTTTTTCTGAATCATAGGCCTTTGACGATAGTAGTTGAGGTTTTTACGCAATATCTTCATGACAACAATATTTTAAAATCGCTACGTACCAAAAGGACACTCGGGTAGCATCTGGTACCCCTCGTATTCATGCTCGACCTCCGGACAGTGGAAGCCGAGCGGCTGCATCATCAGGTACGGAGACAGGCCCTCCTTCTCCAGGGCTGCCTTCATCAGCGACATGGTCTTCAGGCCCGTGTTCGGGTCAAACTGGCAGTTGATACCGATCACGTCCGCTCCTGTGGATGTTAACAAGTTTTGCGAGTTTAAAAGTTGAAGTTTAGTGTTAAAATTCCAAGTTTTGCCTGTTGAAATGTTGAAGTTGTGTGTGTTCAAAGTTGAAGTTTCAACTGTTTCAAAGTTGAAGTTCTGAGTATTCAAAAGCTGAATTTGTGAGTGTTCAAAGTGGAAGTTTTGAGTTTTCAAAAGCTTTATTTGTGAATGTTCAGGGTTCAAAGTTTTGAAAAATTGAGGTTTTAAGTCTTTAAAAGTAGTTTTGAGAGATCAAAAGTTGTCAAAACAAAAGTTTTTGTGTGTTCCAAACAAGACCACATGTGTGGCTATTTGCAGAGAAAAAAATACAGACGAGTCGCATCTTACCAGCATCAGCCATTCTGACCGCACACTCCCCTGCCGACACGCCTGCACAGTCGCCTTTGGGTCCGATCCGTAACGTGCAGGCGACGGGTTTTCCCTTGGTCTTCATCAGCTCTATCGCCCACTCCGCCTCCTCCACGTGCCCGATGAACTAGTCATTGAAAAATTACGGTTCTTAGTGGCAGGTTCTTGGCACACTGGCAACACCAAATCTGTGCATGTCCACATCAATGTAAGGACACACTATGATGTGTAAAATCTTTGTTTTTCTTACTTGTGTGAAATAGCTCTACAACCCACCTCGCCTCTTCCACGTCTCTTCCAAATCTCTACCTGCATTCATCAATGTTTGGATAACATGTGATGTAAAATCTTCGTTTTCCTATAGCTACTTGGCAGAAATATAGCCTTTCGAAACTTCTTGTTTCCGTTGGACTATCTCCACAAGAGCAAAACCTTATTTCATCGATATCACTTGATTTACATCGACCAATAAGAAGTCTTGGTCGATACCCGTTCATGGGGCTTATTTTGCAAGCTTGGCCAGTAAATCGTCTTTTTCGTGTCATGTGACGTTCTAAGGCTAATAAGAAACCCATCACATGACTAACCTCGGCCAATAAGAAGTCCAGGTCGTGTTGTATGAAGGCCTCCAGCTGTTTGCTGTACTCCTGCTGCACGACTGTCTTCCCCTTCCCGTCCAGGTAGGAGGGGGTCGGGGACACAGCGCCGCACAGCAGCACGTCAGCCGCCCCCGACACCTCCTTCAGGATGGTACAAGCCTTGTCGTTCAGCTCTTTGCACTGAAAAACAACAACAATCGTTTGCATCTCTATCTTTATAGCCGGTATAACCGCCCTTCGGCGTAACACACCAGCTTCGCAGACACGCGGCGCGGCGGCAGCTAGCTACTTAGTATATCACACCGAATGACTTATTATTAGTGTTACACTCAATCTCAGCACTCAATTTCAGGATCTAGGAGTTGTTCAAAGCTTTCTAGTTACCGTGATGGTCCGCCCGGCCTCGTGCCCAGGCATGGTCAGCTTGTCGTCTGAGGAGTAGAAGGTTGAAGCTTGCAGAACATCTGCGCCTGCGTGTAGGTATTCTCTATGTAGAGATTTCACTGGAACAAAATGAAATATGTTTATGAAGCTTCTTTATGAAACTATCAGGGGCTTTTACAACGTTCCGGTGACCGCCTGTCACCTTCAGGGCAGTAGTGGCTAGTGATGATTCGTACTGCAGCGATAGGTGTCGCTGCCGATGTAAACCACTGGTTGATCAATGAAGAACCTTCTTGCGAAGTCTCTTCCCAGCCTGATGACATTATTCACGAAAGTTGGACTCTGTGTTAAATTTTTAAAGTGGATCTTGCCTTAATAGTGATTTGTACCTGTCCTCAGGCAACTAAGGACTGATGCGGACGATCTTTGAGCAAAAGGGGCCAACGTTCAAGGATATGATAGGGATAATTTGATTACTAATTTGCTGCCTGATGCCTGCGAACGATTGACCTTGTCCCTTGATAGAATTTCCGGTAATAATGAGCTCCAGATAATTATGTTATATTGTATTATCTTGTATTAGATATATCATCTGTAGTTTTGTACCGGTATACTAGTATGCCATACTTTATACAATTGTTGTGCAATAAATATTCATATCCCTCCCCCCTCATACAAATTGCTATGTATTCGATGTTGTGTTCAATTTCATGTCACTGTCTGGAAGATTTAACCAATGACATTGTCCTTGATCTGATTTAACTTATCACATTAACGTTATGGGTTCTATTGGCGCGCCAGCCATTTTCATTTTATGCCCACTACCTTTTGTATTAGTTATCCCAACCTGCTCTGCTGGTGTAAGGCTGCCCAGACCATGCATTTATGTTTCATGAGCAAAGGATCCTTATAAGCACATTATAGAGCTTTCTGCCAATGCTCACAAATCTATGTGAATAAGATAAATAAATATTCATATTTTTCATAAAGATAAACCTATGCTGCTACAGACCGGCTTCAGGGTGTTCTATGACGACCTCGGGTGTCCATGGCCCGGCCAGCACGTACCCTCGCCTCTCCAGGGTGAAGACATAGCTGCCGTCCCCGACAACAGGGCCCTCCCCCAGCCGCTCTAACAGGCCCTTCTTACGTACCTGTGGGGACGGGAGGCGCTCTACAAGTCAAGAGTACAAGCCAAAGCATGTAAATATTGTTTTTTTGCTTGTTTGTTTGTTTGCTTGTTAAATACTACATGTTGTTATTATTATTGCCTAGTCTAAAGTTTTGCGACATTTAAGTTGTCAAATTGTTTTCCCATTTCTCTTGTAAATTCTATACCTATTTCGTAAATGTTACATATTTACATGCTAAATGGGTATCTTAAATGCTCGAAAACTCGCGATGTTCAAGATATATCAATCATATACGTGAATGAACCACTCACTTGATCAGGGCCGCCATTGTTGTTCCGTGCTGTTGACCTGCTGAATTTGCGAACTCCGTGACTTACTAACACCACAGGAGACTTCTGCAGTAAACACTGATATCGCACTACCTTCGACAAACGGGACAGGTAAGACATGGTGACCTTTCACCTGGCGGAAGACGAGGTAAACAAACCGGTTATCTTCACCAGGCAAAAGATATCCCCAAGAAGTAATAAAGGTATGCGGGATATATAAACGGATTATCCTTAATTCACCGAACAATGATACCAGAAGATGTAATGAAAATATACAACTACACACGTACAGGACCCTTGAACATGCAGCAGGGAGGAACCTACTGTATAGCAAGGGGCCAGCTACTAGTGCCATGGCCTAGGCACAGGCAGATCGGTGCTCATTGTATGGCCCACCCTCCCTACTCCCACACCTTGCTTTCCTACAACAGACAACACGTCCACCTCGTTGGTATGTGGCCGTTAATTCCTTGACCCAATGATTAGTCACCACTGAACATGCAACACACCATGTAAAATCAACTACAAAGAAAGAGCAGTTCGTACCTTTTCTTGATCGTGACCTCGCCGTGCGGAGTTTCTTAGGCACACAGATAGAGCCTGTACCTAAACGTTTGTCGACAACTGACCACTGCTCGGGTCAGTACAGCCGACCTGATTTGCACCGGTTGATGTAGTTATTTATAACTCGCGCAAGCCTATTGGGACCCACCTTTCTTAAAGTCTAATGCCATGCAAATGCCCTCTGCCGTGGGGTAATCAATATTTACCGACGAAGCAACCACTGGAAAGAAGAGAGTGGCAGGTTATGGTGTCCCGCATCGCCAGTAACTAAAACGTGGTGACGAAAAAGAACTGTCGAAGCGTAGCTAGTAAAAACATACAGTATTTTACATCCAACGTCCAAAACATACAACCTATATATAATATAGATAACGTCAAGTCCTTCGTTGTGTGCATTTTGATGTATAATTGTAGGAGACCTTAAGGTCCTTAAGTCGCTGTACTTTTTGTTGTCAATAAAGATTTCAGTTATTGGCAATGGCCAGTTATGCAGATATTGAATCGTTGAAACTTTGAGCTTGCCTGGGCTTACAAAGTCCGCCACGCCACGAATCGGGTCGCATGTTTGTTTGACATTTCCTATTGTACCAGTCACCATGTGTACACAAAGATGGCGGCAGGGTTCCAACGTCATATGATTACAGTCCCTGACATGTGTGACGTACTGTACAAAGGGTAGAACACACTCAGACTGCGACGATGCCAGGTAAGTTCGACTAGAGTGAACATACTAAATACTATGGTAATTAAAATCGAGGATCGTTGTGATTTCTAAACACGTTTTGTGTGCGTTTTAGCAAGTGAAGACTTCAAGGTGACCCCCGTCACCTTTGTACACTACTATGTTATCAGGCTGCCTGGGAAAGTAATGTAATGTAATGTAATGTAATGTAATGTAATGAAGAGTCATAGGTCATTTTCCTCAGAAACTCGGTTGCACTTTGGACCAGTATTGTTGCTAAATCTAAATAAGCAGGTTCTCGTTATTCGACCTTTCCTATGTGCACGTACATGATTTGAATTAGCAGATTCTTTTCTCTTGGTGAAATAATATAGGTAGTCTACAAAATTATATTTCTTGTGTGAAATCTTTTGGTTTCTCGGCCTTTGTGGAACCGAAAAAAAGTTTACACTTGCTAAATGATTGAAATGTATATATTGGACATACAAACGATTGTTTTGAACTTTTTTTCTGTAGAATCTGAGTACCATTTTACGGAGGGTTTCAAGGTGACGGACGACGTCAAAGCTGCCTTCGACAAGAATGGCTACGTCATCATCCGGTCCCTCCTGAGCGGCGAGGAGACGAGGAAACTGACGGAGGCTCTGGAGTCCGATGAAGGCGTGAAGACCAAAAGCTACGGACGGGACGACACTGGGGGCAGGAAGACCAAGACGGTTCTGTGGAACAACGTCGGCAATGACATCACAGGCGTGGTGGCCAGGACGGAGAAAGTGGCGGGAACTTTCGAACAGGTTCTTAGAAATATAGAATGTGTAGAGAGGACGTCATTGGTGGGCCGCCGCCATCTTGGTGTCCTGCCGTATGTGAAGACTTTTGGTCAGTAACGGGACACCAAGATGGCGGATATCTTATGGCCAAGGTCTATACACGTAGAAACTGGATATATAATAGGTCTATGTATGTTTCGTAAGGATGAATTTATTTTTTCTGTTTAATCTGCCCATGTGTTCATCCACCGACTGGGGCCACTGGATTTTCATTGTTTACATCTAGTTTTTATTTACTGATTTCTCTTTGTTGTTGTTGTTATTTACACAGCTTCTTGGTGGTGAGGTATATCACTACCATTCCAAGGTCATCATGAAGGAGGCTCGGACGGGGGGCGCCCATCTCTGGCACCAGGATTATGGGTACGCTGCTTCCACTCTAAAAAGAAAAGTCCCATTCAGAAAAATTATGTTTGATTCTAGCATACTAGATACAAGAAAAACATTGATAATTGAGAGAATTGTATTAACACAGTTGGTTTCAGGTCTAAATTTATTCGGCAACTTCTTTCAGTCTTTTCAACCATAATTATATACATGTGTAAATAACCAATATGTTTGCGGTCTGGGGGCAAATGTGACAATGTTTTAAGTGAAAAATGTCTGTTTCCAGCTATTGGTACGAGAACGGCTGCATGTATCCTAATATGGGCACGGTGTGGATCGCTGTTGACAAGGCTGATAGGGGAAATGGTTGCCTCAAGGTAAGCAGAGATCGTTTTATCGAAAAAAAAAAACACTTAGCGATGGCTGAATGAACTGGTTAAACGGCTTAACTACGTCAAGAATCAATGTTGAAGATATACCTTCATGTGTTTATGTGTTTATTCGTCTGTTTGTTCCTTTGTTTAGATCATCCCTGGGTCCCACAGGGCTGGTAGAGTGGACCATGTTCGTGTCGGGGACCAGGCGGGAGCGGATCTAGAGAGAGTGGCAGAGGTAGGGAGTCCAGTTACAGTATTAAATGACATTGATGTGAATTTCTTTTCATCTAAACATTACACTTTGTTTCAGAAACTGTCCACCAGAAGAAGAAATACGGTTGCGTAGAAAGGTTCTTTCTTGTCAAAAACTCTAAGTTACTAATCTAATGACAGCAACACAAGAATGAAATTGTCATTTTTCATTCCTCAGCTTGAGAAGGCGCTTGGGCTGTTCCATGTGGAGATAGACCCGGGGGACGCGCTGTTCTTCCACTCCAACATCCTGCACCGCAGCGACCAGAACAGCAGCGACAGGCGCAGGTTCGCTCTTCTTCTATTGGCTGATTGCACGTGATGTCACGGCTTAAAGAAACGTGTTTTTGAGCACATAGTTCTCTTATTTATTGTATCCACGGTGTATCTAGGGCTGTGCTTTATCCAGAACCATGCACGATTCTGGATAGTCCATTCGTATCCAAAACCGTGCCTGGGGCACATCTACGTTCTTGGATACCATGTGTGACTGTTTCTTTCCGAGTAGAGAGCTGTATCGGAATGAGTTCTAATGTTGATGATGAACGTTTGTTGTTGCAGGTGGGCCTTTCTCGTTGCCTACAACCGTGCCGACAACAACCCCGTCTACAAACACCACCATCCTCAGTACACGCCTCTCAGCAAGGTGACTGTTGTTTCAAATTTAATAACTATAGGATTTTCATCAATGCATGAAGAGAACATATCCAAGTATTGACAAGTGACAATTAATAAATCATGCATTGTACGTTCAGAAAAATATCTCAAAAATAGGTCTCTTGGTCTTACACTGAGCAAATGGTGGGGTCGTGCGACGTGACGGTCGTGCGGAGTGTCCGACTCGGAACCAAGAGGTCCCGGGTTCGAATCCTGTCATGCCACTGATCGTGTGCGTTTGGGACTTTTCTCACTTCGCTCAGGTGGAAATGGGTGCTGTATTGTCTTCTGTGTTGGTGGCGGTATAAAAATAAGTTGACAAAAGACCTGAGTGTGCCGTCACCACGTCTTGTGAATACAAGTTTGGAATAATTATGTATTGTTTTGCAGCTTCCCAACGCGGCTATCCTGGAGTGTTCTACTGTGACTGACCTAACCGGGAAGGACTTCTTCTCTCTGGATAGAGACTTCTCCCTGGGGTCTTTGGACAAGAAGGCGTAACTGGCTCAACATGTTAACATGATGGTTATGTGTAGAGAAACATTAACCACAACCCGAACATGTTTTGTTCTTTGTTATCAAATTGCTTATAACCTTCTCCCTGCTGCCTAACCCCGTAACCAATAGAGCATTGGTAACCTAAAGACTTACTTCTGTCTGCTGAACACCCTCTCAAGCATTGTCGAGTCCTGCACCTTTAATAGTCTGAAGGCTGTTTGGAACGATTCACGACTTATGGGAAAACCTTTAATGGCTCGTAAAGGTAAAATACAGACATTTGTTTTCAACTAGTTACTAGTAACTAAAAATCTTAAATTTAGTACATTGTACCTACATTATAAAGACATATCCTGTCAAGCTATATTTCTGCTTTATTGCAGAATTTGCATTGCATCTTAGATTCTAATCTACTTCTTCGTTTTGCATTACCCTGTACTTTTTATGGACCGTCAAATAACTTATATGCTTATATTTAGCGTCCTTACGTAATATCTTGGCTCTTATTTATCATAAACCCTAACAGAATCGACACTTGAACAGATTAATAGAATGGATTGAATAAATACCTTGCTAGATAAGTAGCTATGTACAGCATACGGCTTGCTATATGCTATATTGAATCGACACTTCAAATAATAACCCTTAAACTAAACCTCGCCCTCAGACGTCTGCTGACTGTTCTTCTCAGACACGTCACCCATCTCCATGGTGATATACTTGGTGACGTCAATCCCAGCAGCCTTCACCATGGCAGCAAATCGTGAGCTCTCATTGGTCAAAAGAGCACGAGGGGTGTCGAATTCCGACAACTAGAAAAAATGAGATACACTGTCTTTGAAATTGCATGTTTGTAGTCAAAATTGCATAGTTAGTTTACACAAGAATCAGGTACATTCATTGTGTGAAATGTACGTTGTGTATTTCCTTTCTATAGACATTTTTTTCTGAAAAGGTTTGATCTAGCGGCCTATATTGGTAGATTCAATTAATTTCACACATCCACAACCACGATGATATGAACAAACTGAAGTTAGAATCATGTCGTCTGCTGACCTGTCCGTCCTCCATGACCATGACCCTGTGTGACGTCATGACGGTGTTGAGCCTGTGCGCGATGGTCAGCATGGTGCAGTCTGCAAACGCCTCGTGGATCGTGGTCTGGATCAGACTGTCCGTCTCCGAGTCGATAGCCGCAGTCGCCTCGTCTAGAATTAGGATCTGGGCAGTAGTAATAAGAGATGCTATGAGATGACACTAAGTGTCAATATGAGACAATTGTTCTCATCCTCAATGTTTTTGTTTTGCCGGCCGGAACTTGCATTGGATGCCTTTAGGTACATGAACTATTCTTTTTAACTATATACAAGATAAGCTCCCTAGTTTTAGCTCTTTAGAGAGCAAAGCAAATATAATATTCCAGCCGCAACTCAAAAACTAGAATCTAGATCTGAGGAGCAGTAATTAACACCGCCATTCTATAAGAATAATTTTTGGCCTCAAACGTTACTGCTAACTTTCCTTTTTGGCATTTTGAGAGCAGTTAAAGTTTTCAATGACAAATTACGTAATGCTAAGTTCGCCAGTTTGTGTCCCTAAGAATCCGTATGCTCTTTTATATGTTGAATAGTAAGTATAAAATATTAATCATAAGATTCATCTGATAGAAAATAAGTCTGTATAAGAAACTATCAGTTTTCAACGTCCGTACCTTACAGTTCCGCAGTAGGGCCCTGGCCATACACAGCAGCTGTCTCTCACCGACAGAGAAATTCTCACCATTTTCCACCACAACTGAGTCCAGGTTTGAATCAAGAGCTCGGATCTATCAAGAATAAACGATGTTACAATAAATCTGCCTATTCAAGTGTAGGACGATGATGAATTCGAGCTAGAAATAAACTTTAAACATAGAGCTTTGATGATATTGCGCACATTTGCAAGGTGGCATTCCTGGGGATGGTTCAATGATGGGGAAACGGAGTTAGGAAGGGCAGGGGAGAGAGAGGAGAGTTTTTGTGAGTTAAACTTACGGCGCCATCCATGTACACACGTTCCAGTGCTCTCCACATCTGGTCATCACTGTACTGGTTGAACGGGTCCAGGTTGTACCTGTATAAAACCGATCATGGTCAGCTTCATTATGTTTCTCTACTCTGTAAATGTCTCAGGATTGGGACAGGATTATGGGACAGGAGCCAAGCTAAGCCAACCATGTAATACTACCCATCTATATCTTAATCCATCTATGTTTGTATCTTCATGTAGGATTGTGGATGGAGACCAGCCCATACCTGACGGTGCCGACGAACAGTACAGGGTCCTGTGGGATGATTGACAGCTTACTGCGTAGCGCGCTCAGCCCGATCTTACTCACGTCAACCCCGTCGATGTAGATGGTGCCTTCCGCAGGCTCGACCAATCGGAAGATCGCTACACCGAGGGACGATTTTCCTTCAAACACAGTAAGACAAAGTCTTTTTACCAAGAGGATTCAGTTCTGAAAGTAACAATTGGACAAAACTTCGCCGCATCAAAATGCAATCGCTAATTGCTTTAATGTGGCTCTTCTGGTAATACCATTCCTGACACAGTTTAACATTTATAGCTGTTTGAGTACCAACTCCCTCCTGGTTACGGCATTACTCCGGGTGGGCAAGAGGAAGAATGTTAAATTCACAAACATCAGTGTAGTATCAGTGTAGCCGGTATAACCGCCCTTCGGCGTAACACACCAGCTTTGCAGGCACGCGGCGCAGCGGCAGCTAGCTATATCACACAGAACGACTTGTTACACTCAATCTTGCACATTTAATTGCAGGAGTTGTTAAAAGCTAAATTCTAGTGATGATGCCCCAACTGTGCTTGGTGGCAACGAGTTCCAGTCTACGATAGTTTTGGAGTTAAGTATAAGTTATCTTGCATTGTTTATTAGTCATTTCAAAGGGTTATTTCAAACCACCTTACCTGATCCAGTTCGTCCCACAATGCCAATCTTCTCACGTGACCGGATGTTGCAGGAAATGCTTTTGAGGACGAGAGGGAGGTTCTCCCTGTAGCGCATGCTCAGATTGTGCAGCTGAATTTCGCCCTGACTCGGCCAAGATGCTTCAGGGTCTCGGTCTTCGATAACATCCGGGGCCTCAGCCGTAAGGTTCTTAAAATAGAACCATGCAAAATACAAAGCATTAGGAAGTCCCACTATTTTGAGTAATATACGTAGGACCAAGTGACACGTTAGTGGCAAAACTGCGACTTCTAACTGACACAGGCTGAAAGATGCTGCCATTGATGGTTTGAATGTATCGTAGTATCCAAAGTCCCCTATTTTATACATCTCTTGAACAGTCTTCAGGCGAATTTGATCTTAGTGAGCCTTTGAGGATTAAGATCATATCACTGTGTGAGTCGCTGATATATGTTAGTTTTACTTTTTTTTCGATTCTTGTTTTGAATCTTGACTCAGCATTTGCGGCTGTGTTCCATCTAAACACCAGAAAGACATACTGTTAATCGTTCATCGACCATTAACCGATGAGGTTTTATTTAAGATCCCATCTTTTTAGATGGCATCTTTAATCAAGAGTGTGTCATACCGTGATGTAGTATCTCAGACGTTCCACGGAGGTGAATGTCGCCTGTGCATCGGCGGCATCCGTCATCATAAACTGCATCATTCCAGACACCTAGGTGATAGAGGAGGGGGGAAGGTTGTTAGAGAGCATGAAATTATAGGTTCATGATATATCGCATAGTTCTGAAGTTTTTCAATGGAGTTCGAAAGGAAAGTTCTAGCCTTCGTAGCATCAATCTGACTTGACACACTGACACCATGAGTCGATGCAAGTAAGCGTAAACTCATGAGGGTCACCAGGTGCACTGGGTAGAACTTACTTCTCGAAACGACTTTAAGCTTAAGGGTTGGTGGGAGCTTTGCCAGGAATAGATAAAGACACAATACATGCAAGTTATTGCACAGCGCTTAAGGGTCGATGAAAGGTTTCTTGAGAATAGATAAAGACACAACCAAACACACACTAGTGGGGTCGTGTGGCGTAGCGGCAGAGTGCGCGACTCAGAACTAAGAGTCCCAGGTTCGAGTCCTGACATGCCACCGATCTTGTGCCCTTGGGAAAGGCACTTAACACGACTTTCCTCACCTAGCTCAGGTGTAAATGAGTATTGTCATGTCATGTATTTGTCCCCTGTGTTGGTGTCGGCACTAATATAAGTTGATAAAACTTGAGTGTGCCGTCACCACGTCTGGTGATTACATGTTGGAATAAAAAAAAATATTAAAAAACACACCTGTAAGGCATAGGTGATGGCCAGGCCGGCCTGTGTGGCTGGGATGCTCCCGTGAAGAAGCACCACCGTCAGTGTCATGAGGACAGTGAGGGCGAGGGCGATCATCTCCACACGAGATGCTACCCAGTGTCCGCCCATCTCCGCCAGATAGAAGATGTTGATGTAATTATCCATCAAACCGTTGAACCTGTTAGAGTTCAAGATTTAGCTTTCATTTTGTGCCAAAACTAGTACTAGAGAGAGTGGACATGACAGCGAGAGACTGACTGATGGCTGACTGATGACTGATTGACTAACTGACTGATGACTGACTGATGACTGACTGACTGACTGACTGACTGATGACTGACTGATGACTGACTGACTGATGACTGACTGACTGATGACTGGCTGACTGACTGACTAATGACATGACTGACTGATGACTGACTGACTGTTTGACTGATGACTGACTGATGACTGACTGATGACTGACTGACTGACTGACTGACTGATGACTGACTGATGACCGACTGATGACTGACTGATGACTGACTGACTGACTGACTGATGACTGACTGATGACTGACTGATGACTGACTGATGACTGACTGATGACTGACTGACTGATGGCTGACTGATGACTGACTGACTGACTGATTGACTGGCTGGCTGGCGGGCTGCATGACTGACTAACTGAATGAGTAAATTACACGGCATTGGTTTGGTAAATTCTAGATATTGTTCACAACTAACGCATTAAGTTTGTTGACAATGTCTCCGTTGTTGATTGTATGATTACAAACATTGCGTCAATTTCACGGTACGTCTAATATGCATTTAGCAAAGTCCAAGACAGCTACTAAGCGTCCAGGTTTCACTTATTCTATCTATTTCAGAATAGAATTATTACTGATTCTTAATTAATCTTAACCCCCGATGAACCCATTTCTGATACTCACTTCTTAACAAAAGCTTCGTCCATTTTAAAGGCGTGGATCGTAGTGAGACCATTCAGGGTCTCGGTCACGTGACACAGCCACGGCGTCCTAAGGGTGTTCTCCAACCTGGTATGGGGAATTGGGAATAGTGCAACACTCTGTATGTGGAATAGCAACGACAGGTTGTATTTGTGGCCACTCTCTATAACCGCACTTCAGCGTAACTGAACTCAACCATGCCCATTACAACCTACGGAAACACACACACACACACAGACAGACCAAAAACAGAACCCAACCATGCCCATTACAACCTACGGAAACACACACACACACACACACACAGACCAAAAACAATACCTCCATTTTTCATGGAGGTAACAAATTTACAGAAATCATGGCATCCTGTACAATGCTTAGTTTACAACTACAAATGATGATTTACCTTCTGAGTTCTCTAATGATGGCCTGGAAGAGGCAGTACAGGGCGTAAAAGATGACAAACAGCACGACAACAGCTACCAGGAAGAACGGCATGACAATTGCGATGGCGACGAACGCCGCGACAGCGTTCCACAAGTCGGTCATCAGGATGTTGACAACCAGGGGAAGCTGCACGTCAACTGAGGAGGGGTGGGGTAGAAACAATGTCTTGGTTCCATTCGTTGCGAATTATTTTTCGTCGTGTTTAGAAATGCACGCTGGCAGAACGTGTTTGCTTGTCTCGTATTGTAGTCTGGTTCTAGCTATTTATTGGTGGTGGTATCAAAAAATAGGGACTCCGCGCGAAGCTTGTTTTAGGGCTATTTCAAACCCTTCAGGTATGTAATGATGACGAAAATGTGCTAAGAAATGGTAATAAATGTCAATACCAGATCCCCCCGAAATTGCATTGGATGCCTTTAAAATAACAAACGTTACAGCACCACACATACTACACCCTCAGTACTTGCATTATCGTTCTAACAGAATGGGACACGTCCGACCTACCGTTGTCAGTGTCTCTGGAGAAGCGATTGAGGATTCTACCCGTCGGGGTCGTGTCAAAAAAGCTCATGGGACTACTGAAGACCTGGTAAGAGATAAACCATAGCTTAGTTAACCATGCATTTTCTTTCATATAAGTTTAACTTACTACGACTGGTAAGTTCCTTGTACATGTTTACTTATTTAATAATTTCTCATCCTTTTTTCATATTTTCCCTCCATTTATGATGCTTTAGATTGTTTGAAATCAATACGCACAGGTCTAAAAACGCGATCTTAAAGATGACAAGTGGTAGACGATAATATGTATATTGCACGCAATAATATGTATAGCATACTTACAGACTTGAAAACCTTTCTGTATAAATGGTAGGAGGCAGCAAGAGTCGCCTGTAAAAAAAGAACTGATCGTCATGGACATTTCCAATTTACATGTCGGCATTTGTTGATGTTCTGTAAGAATTTGTTAACCTGGGGTTTCAAAGAATAACATGGCCAGATACAATTCATCCCCATTCAATTTGTTTATGTTTGTTGATTCCAATGTCTCCTTGTACATATGACTAACGGAACTAAATGCACTTGTCCTGTTGCTGGCACATGTCCGCATCTACCCCCCATATCTACCCTTTGCTTGCACCTAACAGTACATTAGGCTCTTGTCGTCTTGCTAAATGGTCTACAGCTTCCGTTAGTTACAATCAGTCTCGGCGGCTAACAATACACAACTGCTAACAATTTACTATATTGCGGGCTCATCATTAATGACGATGATGTGATGTAGGCATATTCCATTACAGTGAAGTCTGACCCTGGGTAGTTTTTTTCCATCACATGTTGGCAGTAGAATAGTGCATAACTACCTTACTGAAGAGCCATGACTTGAGGATGACCATCATCAGCATCAGTACGGCTGTCCCACCGAACACCGAGACATAGTACTCCAGGTCCGGGTTATCCGCCAGACTGCCACTACTGGTACTGTTTCCTCCATTCAAGCTGCCCTGGGTCTGCATCAAAGTTGTCAATATTATAGAAAATATTTGCCCTGCTTCTTGTTAACTTTATCAACATTATAGAAAATATTTGCTCTGCTTTTTGTTAACTTTATCAACATTATAGAAAATTATGGGTTGATGATGGTTATTAATTCTTCAATAAGTAGAAATACTGAAGAAAGGAGGTTACATAGGAGCATTTTTTAAATTGTTATAGATTCGATAAGTAGTGTCAAGACTCGTTGGAATAACGACTCAATTGTACTTCTACTCCCAGTGGGCTTAACCATCCAACATGGCGGACAGCAATGACGTCATAATCACGTGAGTGCCAACATCCTATAGCGTCACATTTTTACTTACCCCGTCGCCCTGTTCGATCCAAGTGCTGAGCCAGAAGTTGCTGAAGACGATGGTGGCAGCGTTGAGGGTAAATATGAGTAACACAGCTGCGGTGCTGAAGATACCTGTTTAACAGCAACAAAAACGTACAACCGTAAATAATTTTTTTTATTCCAACATTTCATGACTGGACATGGGGACAGCACACTCAAGTTATATCAACTTATTTTATACCGTCACCAACGCGGAGGACAAATATGGACAACACCGTACATAATTTCATCACGTTGGTGAACTTGGAGAGGCGCGACGCTCCCTGGAGCATGCGGTGCTGAGTGAGTGAGAGTGAGTGGTGAATGATTGAATTTCGAAGTTCTTTACTGACAACCACTTGTTTACAAGAGCCGACGGTTTAATGTTATAAATGTTATTGCTGAAGATGGTAAGCGAATTACCGCTTGCTTTCATGTAAGTCGAGTAGTTTTCGAACTTCACTTTTCCAGCTTCCATCTCCTCTTGTTGAGTAAGGTTTCCTGTAGGGATGTCGTTGGGCAGAGAAGTACGTTTTTAGGCGTTTTGACACTTCAATCGCAAAATTTACTGTGATATATTAGTTTTCCTGTCCTTTACATATTCTGAGATACATAGGATTTCTTTTGCATAGGATTTCTTTTGCTAATATGTGTATTTTACACGGTTAAACATGGTTTTAGGAAGACCTCTAAATGCTTGTCATATACTCGTACATACACATTCATTGTCTTCATCTCTTAGGAGACACCAGTCCTGCAGTTGGGATCTCTTACTCATAAGTTTGCTAAGAAATATTTTATGACAAGCCACAAGAAGGCTATACTGGCTTGACAAAAATTAACAACTAATATACTGTAAACACTACTTGCTCTACCTGCTTTTAACGCCTTTTCTTGCTCGTTTTGTTCCTCGATGTCCAAACCCTGCTGTTCTAAAAACATGCCTGCCGTGCTGGATGTGAATGAGTGTTGAATGAATGGTTGGCGACTGCGGATGCTGTTTGTTCGTTGTATCGGAAGTGGTGGAAACACGGGCTTTTCTTTGCTGTTTAACCTGCGGCGAACGAGACGAGGGGTGGCGTGGATGGAATACTTCTGCCCGCCGCCAGGTGTCGCTGTTAAACGGTCGGCCCCCGGGCGGCGTTTGGGGGCGTCTAGTGATCTGATAGACCAACGCGATTTGTCCTTCCGGCTCATCGGGGTTTGGTGCAGGTCCAGGCAGGGGCCGGGTACATCTAGGAAACTAGACACGGGCGAAAAAAACAAGGTATTCAGCTTCAAACTGTAGTTGCCAGAGTAATGGGCTCAGGGTAGGTACCACTACGTACATTGTGATATCTGTGTGATGGTTCTGACACAAACTATCCAACCCTTGTATAATACAGACTTGTCTTGTCTTCAGTGGGTCTCAATGGATATGACAGGGAAATCTGGGCAGGTTTGGCACCATGCCAGAATCATCAATGTCAGTATCAGCGTTTTGAACATTAATTCTATTCATATTAGAAGTCCAATCACCACACCTGGTTTATTAGCACTTTTGGGTATATAGCCCTATACTTAGCCCTAAAGGGCATGAATGTACAAAAAGTTAATTTTCATCAATAATCACCTTGGTGATGTGGGGACTGGGTTGGAACTTTTCGCTCCGTCCTCGCCGTCTGTCCTGTCTTCATCCAGGTAACTCCGGATCATTTCGGCGTACTCCGCGTTCATGGTCACCAGCCGGCGGTGAGGACCCTGCCCTGCCACCCGCCCGTCTTTCAGCAACACCACCTCATCACACTCACTCAGGTACTACATGTAGGGCAGACATGGTCATGTCATTGTATCTATGTCTTATAGACACTGTTCTATACTGTTCACACTCACTCAGGTACTACATGTAGGGCAGACATGGTCATACCATTGTATCTATGTCTTATAGACACTGTTCTATACTGTTCACACTCACTCAGGCACTACATGTAGGGCAGACATGGTCACGCCATTGTATCTATGTCTTATAGACACTGTTCTATACTGTTCACACTCACTCAGGTACTACATGTAGGGCAAACATGGTCATACCATTGTATCTATGTCTTAGACACTGTTCTATACTGTTCACACTCACTCAGGTACTACATGTAGGGCAGACATGGTCATGTCATTGTGTCTATCTCTTAGACACTGAATCCTTCATTTAATATAGTACATGTACATGTATTCTGTTCTATACTGTTCACAGTCATGCACTCAGGTACTGGGTCAGACATATGTAGGACCACAGTCACGCTATTGTATCTATATCTTAGACACTGAATCGTTCATACTGTTCTATAAGGTTGAACATTGTTGTTTATATCAGTTAAAATGTCCCGTACCTGTAGTTGGTGGGTGACCAGTATAACCGTCTTGCTTCGCAGTGTTTCCTTGATGTAGTGTCTATGTATACAGTATACAGAAATATAAACAAATGAAGTATTGAGCTTGAAAGTTTAATCCAAATACACAACAAAGCTCAGCAGAGAAAACTCACCACATGTGAAATGAGATGCCTCAGAAGAGCAGTGGGGAAAAACTAGAAGAGACAAGATCAGAAACGAGGTGATCAGGGAGATGGTTGGCTCCACCATTGTACTCAGGTACATTGAGCACCAGCACATCAAGTGGTTTGGCAACCTCGTTAGACTGCCACCCTCACAACCAGCCCAGAGAGCCTACAACATCCGAGGGTCAGGACGGAGGGCCAGAGGGAGACCCCGCCGCCGCTGGATAGACGGTGTGACGGAGACCCTGAGTGCCCATGGCCTGACACCGCAGCAAGCCACTCGACTTGCCCGGAACCGCCTTCTCCACTCCCCGCGACGCCCCCATAGAGGTAGAAGCGGCCGGATAAAGTAAAGTAAAGTACACAGACACTCCTGAGTACAGGTGAACTCACCTGAAGATGTGCTCACCGACATGAGCGTCCACCGCGCTCAGAGGGTCGTCCAGCAGATAGATGTCCCTATCCGCGTACAGCGCACGCGCGAGACTGATACGCTGCTTCTGACCACCACTCAGGTTGATTCCCCGCTCACCGATCTTGGGTAATGAAAAATAGATTATGGGCAAAGAAATACGCAGCCAAGGTATACAGACAAGGAGATAGAAACGTTAATGGAGATAACAATCCCAGACCCTTCACCTATAGCCAGGTTATTAGGCTGCTGGAGACTAGTCATTGACAAAAAAAGCTCAAACGAAACGAGATATTTTGCACCTCTTCTCTACAGGAGCGCGTCTTGTGTCTTCAACCGTTGCTTTTCCGGGAATCGAAACTTGAACGTGAAACTTGGAAATTCTAAGACTCTTCTGGCGTTGCCAATGACCATGATATAGTGGCCTCCTGAACACTACCATCACTGGGCATCAGCTTATGATACTTAAGGATAACTACTTTCCCCTTAATGGGGTACTTTTGCCACACTCACCTCTGTCATGTCTCCCCCGGGAAGCTGCTCAAAATCCTGTTTGAGGCAGCAGGCTTGGACTGTCATCTCATATCTCATGGAGGGAAAAAAGGCAGTCACCATAATTGGGAATTATACTCGTCATATACTCTTCTCACATTCTAAAATCAAGCAAGTATTGTTTCTATGTTCCCACTTACATAATGGACCGTTTTCAAACTGAGCTTATAACATAAATGCGATGAGTGACATATTTGAGATGCCGTGAGTAAAAAAATATCAGAGACTATTGATATGACTAAAACTGGTAGCTAATTGCAAGAACAGGGGTTTGTGATGTTGCCATTGTGAAAATGCATGTTCAGCGTGCAATCTACTAGTACACAATACATACAACACAATATGACACAATCGCATACCTGTTGGCATCGAAGGGTTTTCCCAGCAGAATGTTGTCCCTAACGGTGGCGTTCTGTATCCAGGCCTGCTGGGCCACATAGGCGATATCCCCGTCCACGGCCACGCCTCCCTGCACCGCCCGCATCTCCCTCAGAATGGCGGCGATGAGGGAGCTTTTCCCCGCCCCAACACTCCCGCAAACCCCCAGTAGCGTCCCCTGTTGGGAGAAAGGTTGGCACCACAAGTTTTGTCATCCTAACTATGCCTGCCTGCCTATAGCCTGAGTGTCAGCCTTGTTAGCTTTCGTCCGCTCCCCAAGATCCGCTACCGGCCAACAGCGGATCTTGGGTAGCGGACGAAAGCTAACAAGGCTGACACTCGGGCTAACCTGCCTAAGTGCTCAGGCCAGGACCTGGCCCCTTGCTCCCCTCCGTCTGGTTTCTCTAGCTCGCTCTGTTGGTCATCCTAATCTCTCGTATACAGTGAATCTTGATTTTTCCAATGCCAGTTTTTGTATAGAACTTTGCACAGTACCGAGGACCTTTTCCCGCTACAGCTACTTCTACCAAGATTTCTTAAATCATTGTTAATTTGTATTGTTATGGACGTATAATAATCCATAACACTTCAAGAATCGACGTTGAATTTCTGGACCATTATTGCGTATAGCTTATACAGGATGGAACAATCAGAAAATTAATATGTAACCTTCGATATGGTGAGATCGATGTCAAATAGCGTCTCAATCAGGTTAGTGTCCGTGTGTCCGTTCTGACCAGGCACAGTTGTTGGCTCTGTTTCCTCTTCTTCAGCTCCCGTTCTGCTCTCCTCCTGTCGTTTATCTAAATCACGAGGATCAAGAAGAAATGAAGTTTTGTCCATAGCCATTTTCTTGCCAAAAGTGTACTAAAAACACCTCGGTTTTCCATGGGTGTTCTGTTGTGTCAAACAAAACGTCTAGTACAGCATTGAGGCCACAACTGCAATACTTAATACATGGAACTGATGGTGAGTTCAGCACTAAGGAGAGGTACGGTCCACACTTATTAACCAATGGGGGGAGGCTCAACAAGTTTGGGAATATAAACGCTTGTTGTGGCAGAAGGTATCTGATCGTTGGGTTTGGCACAGAAAAAAAGTTTAAAATTGTGTGGCAAGAATAATTACTTTTGATTGGTGGTGGCGGAATGGTGATGGTTATTATGAAGAGCAATAATGGTATATCATTGCTCATCATGACAAGACTGTTGCATATTTACCAAATAAACAGACTTCATTGCATACTCTCTATTCATGCATCTCAAATTTACTCAAATTTGATTCGATTTGTATAGAAAGGTAGGCGTGGTCTCGATCTGGCCACAATGCTCCCAAACTTCCCAGAGGTTCCATCTACCTTTTCCTTTCTTGTCGAGTGCGTCCCAAGCGAAGGTGGCAAGTTTGATGTCGATCGCTGTTTTCTTGTCATCAGGCAGCTGGCTTGTCGTATCTCTCTCCTCCATGATCATCAGGCTCTGTAATAATTGTAGTAACAACACAGTCTGGTACTGTACTATTGTTGCTGTTATAGTAGGGTACTGTACCAGTGCACTGTTGAAGTTTAGGGTACTGTACTATTGTAGCTGTTTAGTAGGGTACTGTACCAGTGTACTGTTGAAGTGTAGGGTACTGTACTGTTGTATTGTCAAAAATGTTAAAAGTTAGACCTTAGAACTAGAAGTGTGATACGACAAATTCAACGTGTTGATTTATTCACATACTTGTGTGTAGATTAATTTATTTTTATCCACTTATGTTTGTATGTATAGTTATGACCTTCAAATACGAAATTCGCGGTACTTGTCTTGTTATTCCTGACCTTGAGTCGCTTTGCAGAGATGGCGCATTCCGCTAGGTTCCGGATGAGTTCGGGAGTGAGCAGGAGCAGGAGGGCCAGCACATGGAAGCAGGACACCATCGTAAAGGCCTGCAACAGCAGAAACGTGCTACGTCAAAATTTGTCATCTAAAAACGGGATTTTCGAGGAAGATTCGACGGTATACAAAGGCATTATGTAACATTTTTACACCCAAAATCTAAACATTTTAACTAAAGTATCGCTCAGAGGAAATACAAGCTACAAGCTATCGTAGAGTGGAACTCGTTGCCACCAAGCACAGTTGGGGCATCATCAGCCATAAACAACTCAAAGAATTAGTGTAACAAGTCGTTCGGTGTGATATGCCTGCGAAGCTGGTGTGTACACATGTTACGCCGAATGGCGGTTATACCGGCTATACCGATACAGATACAACCTTACTTAGAGTAGGGTCTTACCTGCGAAGCTGTGAGCTCATTTCCGGTCATGACGTGTGCACTAAAGGTGACGACACTGGCGATCGGCACGACTGTTGTCAACATGGCGATCATCACTGACTGGAGAAACCCCGAGAACTGCAGCAGTTTTGTCTCTCGGGCCCTCAGCTCTAGGAAACACAGCAATCATTAATATTTCTGTTATCTATGGAGTTAGCTGCCAAATATCTACCCCGCGTACGCGCGCGCGTGTGTTTGTGTATATATGTGTGCGTGCGTGTGCGCGCGCGCGTTCGTGTATGTGTCTTAGAGAGAGACAGAGAAAGTGTGTGTGTGTGTGTTTGTGTGTGTGTGTGTGTGTGTGTTACAGTGTGTGTGTGTTATTGTGTGTGTGTCCTGTAGATAACCCTAGACACACATGTAGATAACTTTGCGATACCCCTATCCCTTAAACAACAGAAGTTTGGCATAAGGGCACGGTAAACACAATTTTCTAACCGGTAACCACCCTGGCCCCAAGGTACCTCTCTATGATTTTGTACCTACCCTCCACCCTAGCGATGAATGGTTTCTCCCAGGCGTACATCTTGATAAGTTTGGCGCTGTTCAGCATCTCACTTGTCATGCGCACTCGCTCGTCAGCGATCTTCACACATCTCTCTCTCAGATTCATAATCTTCACTCCCAGAAGCATCTGAAGAGTAGAGATCATTGTTTTTGTCATTTTTTGCTAATTTTGACATTCGAATTCACTGTTTTGTGTTTTTTTACCCAGAAGGTCACTTGATTTGTGTGCCATGCCAAAATTAAGCAATCAGAAATTGTCGAGGGCAAAATGCCTACAATAACTTCTGAAGGTAAAGATCGGGTCAATATAGTCGTTATCGTCTATTGTTAGATTGCCAGTACTTCAACATTGATTACAAGTTGGATGAATGATAAAATTGATGCTGGTAGTGATAAAAGTTGACGACGATGATAATGATAATGATGACTCCTCGAAAAAGACGCAGTTGTCTCACCTCTATAGGCAGTAGGAGACTGGTGACGCCGATGCCCAGCAGTGCCCAGGGGCCCATGACGTGCACAGAGTACCCGATCAGGGGAAATATCATCAGCGGGAAGAGCAGCAGGAAGCCCGCGTCCTTCGTCAACTCCCCGACGCGGAAGGAGTCCGTAGCCAACAAGTTCACAAGCTGCGTAAAGACACACAGATGGATGTAGTTCAGTAAGGGACCAGTCACCTACAGTTTGTACACCATGCATAGTCTGGACATATTTCGTCTTCCACTATAGCTTGAAGACTGAATGCGGCTACAGGACATTTCCACACGACTGTAGACGCAGAACACAGTGGATGATGACTGTAGCTTGCACGATATCATAATTGTATGTTCCCTCGCAATCAGCTTTCGTGGCAAGAGTTTGCAATGGCGTTTGATACTAAGTACTAATGCTTAGGTCACATTTCCAAACCTGGGCCCGGCCGGGCTGTTTGTACGAACGAAAAATTAACTATTCTTATCAAGAATATAGAGAAATAGAGCCCACGATTGTTATTAAGAACTTTTCGATGTTTTGTTGTCTTTTGTATCGTAGTTTTCGTTCCCAAAAGCTGCCCGGTCGGGCCCCGTGTGTGGATTGTGACCCCAGCATATAACAAACAAACAAGCAAACAAACCTACCTCGCCGACAGTTTTACCCTTCAGGCTCTGCAGACGCATGATCTTGTGGTAGCCCATGCCGATGACAGCAGCTACGACCCTCGCGCCGGCACGGTCCCCCACCACCTGTGTACATCCGAATGCGAGCGTGCGGATCACCTCTAGCACGAACATGCCCACGACTAGCGCGATGCCCCGCCATAGAGGAGGGTCCGATGCTGCCGTGTATTGTAGGATCCATTGGACAAAGAAGGTCTGCAAGGTATGAGAACGATAATACTAGTACCTATTGCGAATCAAAGGCTTGTGAACAACAATATACTATTAGATAGATACAGCAGATGAAAACTACTGACTATACGGTGCATGTGGATAATGTACAACCCTTTGGGTTTTAACTTCTTTTCTATTTGGGGAGCAGCAAAAGACATCCTGAGCGTCTTTTGGTTGCCTTTTTAGATAGCTGACTCCTTGAACATCCAAACATGTGCTCTTCTTTAATTCGTCCCTTTTGTGGCCTGCATATTCATACACGTTTTGTACACAAAAGAAATATTGTACACGTAGTCTCATTGCCTGAGGATGCCATACTATTTTGCAGTTCATACACAGTAATATGTGGGTGAATCATGGAATATCATTCATTCACACAACTAAATTAGATGCATTCATTCAGGCTCACCGATATGACAAAGTACGTCGCGAAATACAGGACACCGGTGGCCATGGATACAGCCAGTCGGGTGCGGAGAAACCGCCAGAAGACGCTCGGCATAGAAGCGTCCTTCTGTCCTTTTTTGGTGACCTCCTCCGTCCAAATTCTGTACAACCTGGGGCAAAATTAAACAGGTCTAACATGCAGCTGTCATTTCGCAAATCTAAGATTGCCTGAGACTTTTTTTTTCTACAAGATCAAGTCATGCACAGCCATAATGCTTGGCAATCCAATATACAAATTACTTGGTGTGACCTTACTAGGATGTCGTCTAACCTTCGTCGACACATACCTGTTTGCGTTCTTGTCTATACTGTCGTGCGGAGAGCCCTTGCCGAGGTCACTGGAGGTCAGTTTACCCCTGAAGGCCTTCCAGACCAGGCGGGTGAGGAAGGACGCGAACACGGTTCCAAAGAAACCCACGTCATCAACAGGGGAAACTGGAACCCTGGCAAAATTACAGAAGGTTAATTTTTAGGGACCGTGTATCTGTTTGTCTGATCTGCCTGTCTGTCTGTCTGCCTGTCTGCCTGTCTGCCTGTCTGTCTGTCTGTCTGTCTGTCTGTCTGTCTGTCTCTGTCTTTCTGTCTGTCTGTCTGTCTGTCAACAGCATAATTCGAGAAGTCGTGGTTGGATAGATCTTGATGAGAATGATTAGAGTTTGGGATTACGGGGAGCAATACAAATAGAGACACTCGGCGAGTGAACAAATGACTTAGAAAATCTGAGATAGAATACAAAACCTAGCATAGGCATGAAATAGAATAAATCTATACAGCATTTACAATTAGACCATTATTTAGTGAGTTACAACGTTAACGTTACAACATAGAATTAGAATATTTAGTAAATGCTGCACAACTCAACAGCTCCTACAAAAGTAGACCTGTGAAAACCGAGGCGTTGACAAGATATAATTAGATCCTCCTTACTTCGGCTTTGGACGGAAGGGAATGAAAGGCTTTAAGGCCGCGGACTTGGACGCCTGTCGTGGATCATGCCCTGCTGGTGGCGGTGGTTTGATCAAGATGGCGGCCGACTTTGGTTCATCGGTGGCCGGGTGCCGCTCGTTCCTAGGGACATCCATGTTGGCCCTGTGTCATAGTTAGGACGATATCACAGTGTGTTCTTATACTGAGAGACAGAATTAAACTAGTTGTCCGATCTACTGGTCTGAGACGACAACCTTTATATTACAATAGTAGTATCACAGTGATTTCCTAATACTACGCAACAGAATTGAACTAGTTGTCGCATCTACTAGTCTGAGACAACCCTTATATTAGACTAGTAGTAGGGACAACTTGGTGGGGTGCTGGACTTCTTCGAATAGTAGTCTGGTCCAACCTGTCAGGCACCAATAATTTTCTAGCAGATCTTTTGTTTGCTCAAGGACATTAGATAGAATCTCAATATAATATCCTTGGTTGGCTACAGGACAGATCTGTACCCGTTTAGGTACGGTACAGTGCGTACGAAGGCCCATAATTACAATGTCGGGCTAATTCACTGTGCATTTGGTAAAATACATCTGTACTCTCATGGAATGTCTTTTATTGTTAGTGCAGTACAGAATTTCAATACAGACAAGAAAATATGACCGGGAATAGGCGAAAAGCCCTAGATCGGTTGGTAGTAAAGTTAAATTGTCGACAATGTTTCGGACCTTCCCTGCTAATAAGTAACTCTTTTAGCATTTCATGAAATGCGCATTGAGCTTAGCCTATATGGATTTCTATCTATACGAGACCTATATAAACTGGCCTTTCCCGTACCTTACCTATATGAACTGGTCTGTCCCGTACCTTACCTATGTAAACTGGTTTTGCCAGTTTAATTATCCAGACACTGTATCTGCCACGATAATTTGACAATGTTGTGTAACCACCAATATCTGCTTGGAAATTAGCATGCCCTGGGGTTGTGGAAAAGGACTGTTTACACCGCTGTTATAACTTGGGTGAAAGTAAGCACCTGGTTTGAAGTTCTTCTATGATTTTTTGTTATGTTTTTTTTCACCCGCCTGAACGTGTAGAAATTAAGATGAATTGTCTTTGCTTCTTTAAATAGGTAACTTCTTTCGTAAGTGAAGGAACATACATGTTCTCTCCCACAGCTTTTGACACTCATTAAGTACAAAACGTAAAAATCCCACGAGGATCATTTATCCAGTTTTTTTCCAATAGTTTCCCTCACAAGTTTGTATACCATTCAACTGTGTTGGATTCAGGCAACATGGAAGCTTGAATGGCTTGCGGACAGGGAATTGGCTCAAAATCAGACTTTTAATTACAAATTAGAAAAAAAATGCGTTAAAAATCAGTCAAGCATCGACACAAATTGTCAAAGGTCACGAGTTATACCTTACCATCGGAGAGCACGTGGTTTTTTTTTTCTAATCAACGACTGTCTATTGTCAATGATTGACATGTTCATTTAAACTATTTTCAACAAAAATCCGTTGTTCTATCTGTGCTATGAAATAGCATAGGACAACAGTTATGTGCATTGCATGTTTCCATTTGCTGAAAACAATACCCCATGATCAACAGTAAGATAACCCATGACATGTGACGGCAACAATTGAAAACAACAGATGAATCCTCTAGTCTCTACCAGTCCTATTAACGAAATGAAAAATGTACACATTGACCAAAATGAGGGTGGAGGTATAACTGGTATGTTATCAGAGGGCTTGATCGTTTTTTTGGACTACGGATTTGTCTACTCGTAACAGTTACTTAAATCCCTTTGTCTCATTGACTCTACAACAGCCCAACCACAACAGGGCATACAAAAGAAAGACAACATGTCAACCTTCAAATCTGACTCGTGTCAAATAATACGTGCCTTAAATCTAGACTTAAGGAAACGACTTTGGGTACCCTTTAAGTGTTTTCTGGCCACATTGCATCATGTAAAATGTAACAGTAACTTCAGTCTGCCTTACCTTGTCCGCCTTAGCTCGCAGCTGTCCCTGCAGGACTGAAACAATAGCTAGCGCCGCCTTTATAATTACATGCATGAAAAAAGAACAAAGCTACCGTGTCCCCGGTGTTGAGCCAAATCCTTGAGCTGCCACATACGTGAGAGGCCAGGTGTTTAGGGCTAGGGTCAGGGTTAGTACGAGTATATAAAACCGTATAGGCCTGCTGGAACATACATCGATCATTGCATTCATAAGTGTAATGTTGATTGGGTAGTCTATATCGTTAGTCACGGCATTTCTTGTTTTCTTTAGTGGCGTTTCGTTAAGTACGTACAACAACTCACGTTTCACAGTCATGTGACTGATTGAACTTTATTGCTCAACAATCGTACATGGTACAATGTGTGGCAATTAATGAATGCTGCAAGGCTAATCTTTTCTACAGTCATGAGTACAAAATATTATCGATGGCAGTATGTGACGTACAATATAGTAATTATGTATGGACAATTTGGTCTGGAAATGAAGTATAAAGAAATTGACCTAGTATGTAAGCAGATATGAGAGTTGGGCATGACAACAATGCATTTAAGTATCGTACCAAATGGGGTGTAGTTTGTAATACAGTACATGTAGTAATAGTCTGCAACAGCAATTTTTCTTTACTTTAAGTAAGAGGAGGCCTCATGAGATGAAATTCTTTAAATTTCACGAATGGCGGCACACACTACTGCCACTACACACATCAGCCAGCCAGCCCTCACGGACTTCGCGCCACTTTTGTGCATGTACGACTTCTCTCCCACATACACCTTCCACACCAGGAAGTTTTGCTCTGAACCCGTGAAGGTTAACTCGTTCACGCGCCACATGTGCAGCCTGTTGGCGAGGAACCACAGGTAACCCGCGTCATCAAAAGCTAAGGTGTCTGCCCACTGCATGGTGACGTCATCAGAAACGAGCTCTTGTGCCGAGGACACATCTCCTGATGACGTGTCCCACCCGTACACGGCGTTGAGGTGTAAGGCCGCGAAGTACAGGTTCCCTTCTTGGGACACGGCGAGACCGTCGCTCTGGGAAATCTTACGCCCTGTCAGACAAGTAGAGAGATCCTTTAACACACACGTATCGTTAGCATATCTCCAAGCAGATACTTCTAGATCTTTGAGAGAGTGGCGGCTGGACACTGCCTGGTCAATCGGGTACTGCTTGCCTTTTGGATGTAAAGTTCTGTAGGATCTGCTTCGAGATTAACGTAAACTATAAATTCTGTGTACTACAGAATGATATAATTAATAATAATATAAAAGGAAACATTGCAGTGGCTAAGTCATGGAATGTTTCTGGGCGATTTCTACGGAGTGAATGAGTGTCGTATCCAGAACCGCGCCTGTCTAGTTCCAACGCCCGCCTTGGCGACCCCCCCATTTTAGCACCAAGGACATCACCCGGGTTAACTAGGTTCAAACGCAGCTCTTCTCTGCGTATCCAAGAACGTACGTAGACTTTCAGACTTCTGCTGAATACTCGTGAGCTATTAAGGGCCGTGCATGCATGGCTGTGTCATTGAGTGAGTTAGTAAATAAAATAGCCTGGAGTCCATTCTAAAGTATCCTTTTTTTTATAGCTTTCCCACGGAATCACGAGAGCGTCTGGAGTTAGAATATGGTGAATTCTAGGTTTGTACAAACTACAAACACACGTCCGTACCTTCAGGAGTCACACTACTGCTGATGTCGGTCACCACGGGTTGTTTGATGACGCTGGTCGGGACGGAGTACAGGTTATAGGCGCTCAGCGCACAGTAGTACACCTGCAGCAAAGATACAAAGACCAAAGGTACAAACCTTCTCTGGGCGGCTGGTTGTAGGATAGCCGACAAGAGAACGCGTTAAAAATTCTACAAAACGCAGTATCAAAACTACCACCCGCCCGGAGTCCTTCACAGGAGGCTAACACTTCTCACCTTCATGTTGTCTCCCAGTTGTGACAGAGCTATCCCATCATTCGCCACGTCAAAGGTGTAGTTCCGCCCATTTATCGTCATGAGAGTCGCGTCCGGTTCCACGCTCATACTGGGGTGGAAAACTCTGGAAGTACGTTGAAAAAAAAATAACTAGAAACATAACATTTGCAAAGCAAATGCATAATGTTTTGATACCTTCGAATATGGTCTGCTCTGTTAATTCTTACTCAAACGCATTCATATATATATATGGTCAGACAGGAGTCTAAATCCCCCCTGCTATAAAATTGCAACAAGATGTGACCCAACACCAGTTACCACGGTGACAGACATCTGGTTCAGGTCATTGACCGTATTTTTTTGGAGAAGAAGAAGAGGAAACAGAGCAAAAACAGTATGTTTCCTTCGGTAAACATAAAAATAAAGTTAAAAGTCTCACTTATGCGAGGAGTCCCGCCTGTAGTCATACACCACGATCCCGCCAGGACTGCGTGAGTTGGAGATGTACGCGAACCAGTCCTCCGGATCGTCTGCCGAGGTGTCAATCACGATGTCGTTCAGGTACGTGGTGTTCGTGTTGGCCACGTCATCGGGAAACGTGTACTTCCTGATGACGTCGTCGGTCTTAATGTCGTAGATGATGAGTTTCGGTGCACAGGTTCCGCCGACGTCAGCAATCCACATGCGTCCCAGTGGGTCGACTTCCATACTCTAAAACGAAAGAGGAGACCGTCAACATAAAAGGTAGGTATAGAAAGCTAAGAAATGCCTGAAATACGCTTAAACTTATACTATAAAGGTGCTTTTAAAAGCCATTGATATTTGTGCATGATTTTATGTTCGCAAACTGGTAGAAAACTATTTCTATTGCTTGATAAAGAGAAGATAACAAAACCTACAAAAGGCTTGAGGCGTTACGAAAAAAAAACCAACCCCCTTATTCCGCCAACGCCCGGATTCTGTCGCTATTTGATATATTCCAATATTTCGATTCATCACCTTTCCAGAAAAAAAAGTTTACACAGAAGAGAAGGAGACTTGGGAAACGGCCTCACCTGGACCGACTGGAGAGCGGAGCAGTTGCCGAGCTGGTTCATTTCCCAGCTCGGGAAGGGTCGCAGCACAGTCCGCCCGTCCGCCGTCTCCACCACGGAACTGACAAGGAGGTACAGTAACAAGAACAAGACTGGCAATGAAAACATACATTGCCATGGCGACGGTGGTTGCTGTTATGGTTATTGTTTGCATGGCACTGCCATCATTTCATAATTTTGAGGGGTACCTTTTATAATTACATGTAAGTCTAGACAGATACAGTACACTCCTCCCCTGAGTGTATAGTGAACGAGCCCCGGGGTCACAGAAAGTAGGGCGATGGGGCAGAGAGGTCTTCCCAAGGGTTTACAGGAATGTGGGCATAGATGTGGGTCAGAGACATGCCTGTGGACATTCTATTCCTGTGGACAAAATGCCTGTACCATTCATAGAATTCTTGCAAACTGCACACACACAATACTGTACCATTAGGCTCCTCCCTGAGACGTCGCCAAAAAAATGTAGACAATCTGTTTACCTGATGCTCTGGCTATTTGCTTTACTCTATGCCCAATAAAGCATTGTTAACGCACTCTTTAACAAAGATCTATCACTCGACGAATTTCAAAGCGCTTTTTTTAACGTTTTATGTGTGCACAAGAAACTGAGTACAAATAAAAAAAGATTTGCCATCAGGAAGAAAAGCACATTATAAACCCTCAAAAATGTTATGGGTTCTACTTTGTCTGAGGAGGCTAGAAAAGGCTAGCCTGGGTGCCATCCGATTTGTAACGGCAACCCCGAAATTTTTCGGGGTTGCCGTCACAGCCGTTACAAATCGGATGGCACCCAGGCTAAGAAAAGGCCAAAGACGGCTGAAATAACCCGTCGCCTACCTGAGAGAGGCCGGTACACCAGCCCGCCAGCGGGGCGTGGTCAGGTACACCACCTGGTCGTGAACCTTGATACCTGTGGGGATGATGTCCTCCGGTACGTACCCGTTAGCTATGGCATTCTGGGACACAAGAAATGAATTTTGAAACAACGTTAACAATCCTGACGTGCTTCCAGTTTTAGTACTCTCATATCATCAAATAAGTAAGTTACGAGTATATATCATATACTCTGTACGTAAGATAACGTTATCCACACATGTATTTAGCTTTGTTAGATCTTTAGTTAAGTTGTAGAAGACCATACAAAAGTCTCTGTACTTTTTTGTTGTGTCAATAAAGAATCTCTCATATCATCAACTCATCTATCTCTTAGTTTGATTATTTGACTGTTGGGGCACCACAGAAAATCTTACAACCAGTTTTCTTCGGAGCTCCATATATTTTAAGGAAATTTGAGTCTCGTATTAGATACGCGTATTTCACTAACAACTGGCTGTCATGGTGATCTATCTCTTTAAAGCCTTTGTCCGATCGACCCACTATTGACGTTACGTTTCATAATGAGAATGGGCAGCATATCCTAAAGAAAACTTGAGATACTTGGTTATACTGAAACTTCGTGCATTAGTTTATCTAATCTTTTCCTACTTCTACAAACGTCTTCACACATTCTTCTACCTTTCTTGTAGCCAAGAAAAGTAAAAGACCTGTCGAATCTCGTCGCTTGGCCAGTCATAGTCCAACTTTGTCCACTGATACACCAGGGTCGCCTCCCCAACATCCTCTGCGCGGGACCTTCCCAGCATGCAACAGCATGACGTCAGGAGGAGCACGCACACGAAGTACCTCGTTTGGTCCGCCATGATTCTGTCAAGAGATACCATTTTTAACATATTTGTGGGAGAGAACAGTAAAATGCTTTAAAGACTAGCCTCTACCAGGCATCCGGAAGCGGCAGAACAGCCTATGCTCAGTAGGGCTGGGGCCAAAAAAACACCCTTCAGCCCGACCAGTGGCAATTGTTTTTGGGCTACTAAAGAATTCCTACATCAGCAACCAGGTAACTTGCGGTCATTGTGCCACTACAAACAAAGCCCCTCACAGGACATGCTGACTCATGTTGATCGACAAAACTTCTGCTCATCCAAATTTCTCGACTAGTCTGCTTTCTACATAACCTTGATGCTACACTGTCCAGGGCACACCTACAAGCCAGCTCGGTTCTGGGGCTCTCTAGGGCCAACATTCCAAAGGAACTTTAACGACTGTGATAGACCCCTAAACCGGGCTGTCGCGGTAAAATGATGGCCTTGGAGCTTATCATAGGAGCTGGCCTGCATAGACCCTTCAGTGCAACAGTCTGGCATCCAGCAGGTTAATACATACACTACTCCTTCTACTGACAAAACATGAAACAGCTGTACCTTGTATCTCCAGAGAAGTTCCCCAAGTTGAAGATGTGTGAGCTGTCCCTCTCTGTCTCTCTCTCTCCCGGCTACTGAGTGTTATACAACCTCTCGCTGTCCGGTGTTATAAATTAAGGGGGCCGGCCAGTCCTGATAACAGTGTTGAACTCTGACCGGATGGCCTGGGTTCAACTGGCGGTCAGTAGATCTTTATGTAAGAGTCATGTAAAAACAAATATTCATGTTTCATGTGGCCCATGGCCGAGCGGGTACAGTCCGGGTTGTTATAGGTCATATGGAGGCTGCCAAAAATCCCTAAATAACTGGAACTCAATACCCTTATGTTGAGCTCAACTGGCACTTATCGCTGGGCAGTCCAGCAAAACACACACACACACACACACACACACACACAAAAAAAAAAAAATACCAACCCCAGCCTTTGTGTCCTTTGTGTAACCATTTTTATTTTTGTTCCAAAGGTCACAGAGTAAAATATGGCGGACAGAAACACGACCGGTGAGAAACTGACGTTCCGTCTGGCGACTGCCAGCGACTATGACGCCGTCATGAACATATCTGAGGGCGTCTACGGAGGCAGGGACTACCTCCCGGCGTTCTACAGGTCATTCATGGCCGATCCGGACGTCATCGTGTTCTTGGCTCTGGTCGGAAGCCAAGTGGTGACTGAGCCAGTTATTTAGTTATTGTAGAGCCATTTATGTATAATGTCATTGGTTATTTAAATCTTTACGCAAATACTGGGAGGTAAAATTCTGTGGCCCAATAATGTATTTCTGAAGGCGATTTCTAAAAAAAAATTATATGAATCTACGCACTTTAATAGTAAGAACGAGAGTTTCTAAATACAGTACTCGTAGGACCCAATAGGCTAAAGAGGTCGTCCTGGATAGATTTTAAACCTTGACATACGCTACCAGAATATATTACGATTTTTTTTTTACTTAGGGACCACGAAAAACACTATGGTCTTGAAAAAATATGAGCATATGTGTGGTTTCGGCTTCATTTTCTTCCGCCTCGACTTTTAGGTGGGACTGCGAGCATCCAAAATCACCGAGAATGGAACTGCATTTATCGTCAAAGCCGCTAGGGTCGCTCCTGACTGGAGGGGACAGGGAATTGACCGGCGGTTGTCCCTTCACCAAGACGAGTGGATGCGAAAGAACCATCCCACGGTCAAGTACAAGCGGTCCACGGCGTTTTCACTCACGAAAGGCCTGGCGGAATCTATGACTAAGAAGATGCGACATATATTTAGCATGGTTAGCGCAGAAACACATGTCATTATGTTTGTTTGTTCGTTTGTTTGTTCGTTTGTTTGTTTTATTGGGATCCCATCAGTGTTGTGATGTAGCTTTGATTACTAGTACAATGTAATACCAACGGTCCACTTTGGGCTTTCAAATGACGTAGCCTATCTAGTCGGGAGGACGACGGTCATGCTGCCGCATTTCCAAACCGACCTCAGCCGGGTAGCTTACAGGCTATAAAGAGCTCAACACTCTAACTATCCGGTTGGTATCGGTTTGGAATGCTGTCATGACTTTTCTATAACTTAGTATAACAAATCTAACGCATATGAGATGTTCGATCTCTCAGCCCTTCATAGAGTACCAGTGCGGCCCCGGTCTCTGGTGGCGACAGGACCCTGCTCAGCTGGCTCAACTGGAGCCCACCGGCTTACCGGACGTCGTGCCTCTACAGGACGCAGACGACGAGGTTTGCACGGCCGTACAGAAATGGCTTCCCGCCGGGGCTTGTGGCGGCCACGACGGCAAACCCGTCATACTGGTTGACTGGGAACCTTACACTCTATCTCCGGCTAACTTAAAACGCCTACAAGCACACAACACTATTTACATGTTGAACCACGCTGGAGACTCCAGCCTAAGTCTCTCCAACACATACCTCTCGCCTACAGTGAGAATATTGTGCGTCCAAATCTACTCCGAGGACTTTCCCACCGTCTTGAAACACCTGTTGAGGCACCTGCAGGACACAAGTCGCACCTACGGCAGTGAGGCGTTGTGCGTGGGTGTGTTTGTTTCTCAGTGTGAGTTAGAGGATGCCCTGCACGACCTCTGTATGCAAACTTTACAAATGGAACAGGTCCAATCACGGGCGACATCTTGTGAAACGTCCTTGGTCCAAGGCAAGGGACAGGTCATGTTTTTCGAATCTGAGATGCGATGTGAAGACTACTGAAACTACATGTACGTCCTAATGTCAAAATAAAGCAATGAGGACCATATGAGTTAAAAAATCTCCTTCAATGAATTCATGTTGTCAGAAATAAACTTTCCCTACGAAAATAAAGATGAATACCGAAGATGTCATCTTTTTAGTTCCGTTTGGCGTTTATGTATGCAATAGAATGCATTAGGACCGACTAGTTCGATTTTGTTGTTGCGAAGAAATAATTTAGACAGTGTATCCAGACCAAGAAACGACTGGCTTCGTACTTCTCTCAAATTGTTACTGCTCAGATCCAACGACTTTAGTTCGCCCATATTCTTAAAACAATTAGGGTCTACACTGTCGATATTATTGTCGAAAAACGAAAGATAGCGGAGCTTTTCCCCACTATCTGGTAAAGCACCAACGGGAATGTGGGTTAGCATGTTGTGGTCTAGATCCAAATTTCTTAAAGCTTTAAAGTTATTGAATGTGGTGTTTTCCAGTTTGTATATTCCCGTGTTGATGAAAGAAAGTCGTAAAATAGAAGTGGAATCGACTGCAACCAGGTTTTGGGACGACAATACCCCGAACTGAAAACCGCTAACAGCTAACCATTTCCATCCGTGAAAACACTTCATTGTTGTTGAACGGTCTGCGATCACCTAGGTGTGATTGTGATCATCGTTACAAAAAATGCACCCCTCTGAAATTTCGCACAAACTGTGTGTTCATTTCGGAGTTAATGTTGATTGTTCCAAAGCGTTGACGCAGACTTCGCGAGGGCGGGAGTGCCGGCTTCTTTTCCCGGTTGCTTGCGGTGTCCTCGCGCCTGGTCTGTAACAAGTACACGCGACACGGTCTTCGTCAATGGGAATTGGACTAAAACATATACCGACTGTCCTGTCTCCTGTGTATCGCGGCCTTTACAGCTAAACTTACTCCTGTCTATTGTTGAATGCTCAGCTGAAAATGTACTTGTGGCACCCACAATTTCTCTGGTGATATAATGAAGCGACGGAAGAAACTGCTCTATTTATTCCAAAAAAAGTTCAGACTAATTTCCGGGTCGTCACGGTTATTTCACAATACATTGCAATGGCCTTGGTGCTGATTTACGTTCAAATCACACCTCCTGTTGCTGTGCCAACGTCCGCCGCTAGAGGCCGCTCCTCCCGAGCGGTGTAGATTTCCGAGTGCAAAGGTCAGTCCGTGACGTCACGGGACGAGCAGACATGGCGGCCGGACAGTGATCAAACCCGATCAGGGATGCCCGCCACGGATTTTCTCGCTTTTCTCAGCTCATCCCAGCGTCATTTCTTCCCAGAACCACACTAGATTCATAGCATTACCTCAAAGGTTTGTCTCTAGCACCGTTTTAGCGTCCGATTGTGAACAGGAGCGACGGACTGGGAGAATTCGTGCATGTCAATTTCGTTATTTTTCAATTTCCACAACAACAGACTGTTGAAGAGCGCCATCTTCGCCTACATTTGGACGGGATTTTTGTCGCCGGGACAGCAGAATTTCCTGGCAGCGTTTGAACAAACAGTCATGCTTCGTTCTCTTTGATTCGAGGGTCCTTTGTTTAGGCCTTGCTTTCCTTTGGGATCTAATTTTCCACGAACTTCAGTAGTATATAGTCTGGCCATTTTCCATCAACACCCCGTGAGTGTGTGTGGATATAACAGTTATTAGATCATAGACCCTCCCTCCAGCATATTTCCAGCGATCGCAAACCCCCGGATATTCCAGCTTTAACAACCAGCCATGGCTGACGGAGAGTTCGAAGGGTTTGTGGACGATGTTCTGGGGAAGGACACCACCAAGCGGCTGGCCGTGGCCGAGGTTCTGGTGACGTACCTTCAGGACCACAGCTCCCCCCTCCCCGCAGATTCTGCGCTCATGGACCGCCTGGTGGACGGGCTGGCGGCGTGGCTCAACACCTCCAACTTCAAGGTAACCACTTTATTCTACAATATACAAAAATAATCTATCTTTTCATACCAAAAATACACAATTTATTACAATATTCTGAAGTACAAAACTGTTTCAATCAATCCAAACTTTGAACAATAAATCTAGGTAGAAATACCTTTATGTCATAATGTTAGCCAAGGTAACCTTTCTATTCTCAAATACACAAAATCTGTCCTTTCTTATACCTAAATACACATAATTTATTCTCAGTACAAAATCCAATCAATGCAAACTGTGTAGGATAAAATAATTTAGACATAAAAATACAGCATAATTTACCTTTATTTTCATTTATAAATACACAAATTAGTAGTGCATTTTATGCTAAATACACACAGCTAAATGCAATTTTTTCCAACAATATTTGAGATTTACGGATGACAGAGTTGAAAGATTTGGCGCTGGCCATATTTGTTGGCAGCTGTCACAAGCATCTGAATTATGAATACGGTTTAATTGTCGGGTAATCCTAGGAGGTAATTGTGATAGGGCATATCAAAACAATACCTAATATAAAATTATATCAACCAGCTGCTTGTAGCTACTTTAGATGATACAGAATTTGAACAAAGCACAATTTATTCATTTATTGATTTAGATCTCATATAACTTATGTATATATGTATGATAATTTGTACATAAAGACAAAAGTGCTCTTTGCTGAAAAGTGTTACTGCCAAATCTGCTAAGTTTTTCTGTCATACAATACAATAGATGTAGAAACATACTAAGTAGTTTTGATTGCAGACTAACATCAGTTCCCTGTATATATTATACCATGTATAGCACAACTATCCAGACTGAAAATTGATACCGGTAGTGCATACATACGTGAGAACTGTGTCCTAGTTTGTGGTACATTACTGGTGTGCAGTAGAGCTAACATTTCGGTCCCTGTGACGCCTTCCAAACTAACCATGTTACGCTCATGACAAAGTACATAGCTGCAAGAAGCAAGCATGTCCAAGTACACAGTAAAGATGCATTCTTCAGCTCAGGTTCACTCCTACACATGTAAACTAGTATTAGCTGGGGGGAGGGTTGAAAGATTCTTTCAATGTGTATTATTGTTCAACTCAATACACACATATGTCTCTGTTCAGCATATGTTTGTATTTTGCAGTGTTTTTGATGTAGGAAAATGACATCTGTACCAGTTTGAAACTGTCGTTGCAAGTTCTTTTTTAGGTTAATTATAAAACCATTTGTACTAACAACAGACAACATATGGGAAAGTAAAGTATATATTCACATTTTTGCAAACTCATCGAACATCACAGCATTTCTTCAGACTTCATCATAACTAACCGTCAGTGTGTCACTTCTATTTGAGTAATGAACTCTAGGAATCAGTAGGATGCAATAGTCGCATTTTTATATTGCTGCAAAATTTTGAACTGCTATAAAGTGAAATAGATACATTAGTTTACACAGGGTTCTCCCCAGAAAATTTTAGTATGAGGGAGGAAACTTACCGAGCACACACTAAGCGACGCGCATACAACTTACACATAATAGCTTAAGAGACTCCAACACCAAGTTGAAAGAAAAGAAATGGCACATTTAACCATGATTTAACTTCAAGATCAAGGTGTTGGGACTCTTCTAGCTTATTACTATAATTGGAAACTCAATTTGTATGTGGTTGTCATTATGCATTTATTTGCCGGTAAATGTGTAACAACTAACATTATAACAAGACAGGTAACAGCATCTTATAGAAGTCACAAGAGGATACATCTCCTTTATTTGTAGTTCTGCACCAAGCAGTGCAGCACTTGTATACACTACTACTAGAACAGTCTTCACTATAGCAGGGTTCTCCCCAGGATTTGAGAGGCATGGCCCCCCCTCCAGAGGGGGGAAGCTGAAGCATTTTTCTTTATCTAAATACAAATGGAAGCCATTTCCTGCAACTTCAGGTTTTGAACTGCCAGAAAAAAATGTTAACATACAGGAAAAAATTGGGCATAGGTTCCACGCTCTGACCCCTAACCAGGGGGCCAACGGTGCCTTCAAGTTCGACAATTGAAACAGAATATGACATTAAGTCATACATTTTCCACTTGGAACTTGAGGCAAGCAATTATGGGAAAATGTAGAGAAGCTGGGACAAAACCTTATCCTAATGCTAATCCTTATGTTATCACCAACTTGTAAACAAGTCCCTTATAATTATCAAAGTACCATCAAGAGTACCATCAAAACAAAATTTCACTTCTCTAACATTAAATAATCGGTCCCATGTTTAGGACTAACAAAGTTACACATTCAAGAAAATACTTTTGAATTTAAAAAAAAAAGAAGAAAAAAAAAGAAATCTGAAAGAAAAAATATTAATCTGCACAACATTTTATTGGTTTCTATCCCTTTGCTTGTCTACAAGTCGATAATGTGATTGTATCAATTTTCAAACGCCCTAAAATTAGCTAAATCGGCGAATTAAGGTGATTGCGCAATGGACGTGCCCTATGACCTTCGACCTTTTGGGGGTCATGCAGGCGTCAACAGCGCCCTCCCCATGCCTTGCCCGTCCGTTTTCGTCGGCAAATTTCTGCTTTTTTAGAGGTTTTGAGACCTTAAAACTCATACCATGGGAGAAATAAACCACATACGTTATTTTTATGGTAAATATCGCTAAAATGGACCATGCATTTTTTTGTCGCGTTGCCGATTTTTGGCAGAAGCCTTGCGGTGCGGCCGCCATGTGCTACGCCGATAGGTACAGGCCGTCCCCCGTCCGGGTTTGTGGGCAAAATTCAGCTTTTTTTAACGTTTCGGGACTTAAAAACCGACAGCAGGGGAAAAATAAATCGTATACGTTATTTTCATGGGAAATACCGCTATCATGAACCAGACATTTTCTGTCGCGTCAACGAATTTCGCGGCCGCCACATGCTTCATAATGTCGCGGTACGGTAGGGAATTTTCTACGGTTTATAAGTTCGTAAACGTATCGGCTTTTATTTTTAAACTTATTATCAGGGTCGAGGGCTTTGGTTTACAAAGAAATCAGACAATTAGCTTTCTTTACACGACTTCAAAACGCTATCGGGGCGCCCGATGTTCCACCAATGACAGCGATTCTCTCAGTAGCGTCGTGCGAAATACTCATTGTTTACTCGATTATCGCCCCATTCACAAGTTTTCAGAGACAATGCCGGCGGGAAAATAGACGCCACTAAGCCCCGAAATCAGGAAATTTTATCGAATTTTAGCGAAATTTTGTAGAAAAATCGGGATGCAACACCCTAGATTTGAAAATGAGTATGAGGGCGCTGAGCTAGGAGTATCAGGGCGCAGCGCCCTTGTTCCATCGTCTGGGGAGAACCCTGTTACAGAAATGGATACACAAATGTTGGAATACTCTCCCATGCAGGTCTTTCATGATGTTCAGAAGGGAGTTGGTAAATCCCTGAAGCAGAAGTGACAGTGTTAATACTGTTATGTTAATGTGCACTGTGGGAGATACCATTATCACATGTCCCCATCTGTGTAAAGTCACATGGACCCATCCCAGTCTATTATCTCTGTCTTTTAACCCTTTAAATGACTGCTTTCATTAGAACTGTGCCTACTGAGACACTGTGAGGGTTACAAGTATTACAGCATTGGCAATGCTGAACTGAAATAAATTATACCAAGCCAGAAGCCTGTGTTGTTTCCAGAATTGTTATCCAAAACCATTCCGAAACATGGATCTGGAAAATCTGTTGTTCATGCATTTAGAGTGAGAAAAAAAACTTGCCCTGTAACGAATCACATCTCACCCATCAAACAAGTGTTTACCTTGATTTTGCCCATGAGATTTACATAATTCAATTAATTGTCACCTGAGGGAGGCTATAATAATGTAAGAATAATCCTGTCAGAATCACTGGGAAACAACAGCTTAACTAGTATCCACTTAAAAGGACATTTTTGTTTCAATTCTTATGGGATGCAGTAATGGTTGAATATTTCAGGTTGAAAGTTTATCTGAATAGACTGTATGAGACAAAAGGGCACTTGCACTTGTCAAAGTATTCTGAAGGGGAAAGGGGAAGATATTCAGGGTTGGTAGCACAATTGTGGACAATGTTTGTAAACAATAGCATAACTGTTTTCTTATGACACCAAAACGTTTCAGAGAAAGACGAGTCTGATTTGGTAGCAGCCATGTTTGATGCGACATTCCTGTGACCTTGGCTTACTTCCAGTGTCAGGCTAAGGTCATGACTGTTCCGCATATTTTGTGGATTATGTCATGAAGAGATATAAGAAGGAGCATTTAATCTCTGTGTGTATGTTCAGACAGTAGAATTTGAAAGAAGATGCAAAAATGAACTATTTTTAGCACATATTGATTTAGATTACCCAGCTTCCTTCCACCTGCAGAGACATGATTAGTAACCAGTGATCTAGTCAGCGTCCATCTTTCTGCCATTTGGCAGAAATTTGCTGCTCATGAGGGACAAAAATTTTGCCCCAATCTGTCACCTTTGATGGGCAAAATCAGCAAAGATGACTTCAAACACTATATACTATTGTAGGATCTATATATATGGATACAAAGCTACATTGTCTATTGCATGATCAATTTGGCACAACATGCACGCAGCATGCATATGTAAGATATTTGAATATCTGAATATGCTTCGACGTAAAAATGTAACTGAAATTTTTGCTTGCAACAGAAGTTTCTCAGGATCCTTTGGTTTCGGCCAGACGAATGTTTTGTCTCCCTGCCAAGTTACTGTAGAAGACGGGGTCGTGTTACGTCTTGACCCAGATTTACGGACCCTCAGGTTAATAACACTGTTAATCTCACAGCACAGGTGCACTGACCACGTCCTAATCAGTCCAGAGTACTGTGGTGTACTAATTACACTCTAACATTGCACCTGGCAACGGACTTGTTTCACTGGAATTGAAATCGAAAAAGACTCTGGAAAATATGATATTGTTTTTATTCCCCAGTTCATTGTTTTGTCATATAG